ACATATCAAATCAATTTACTGAAATACCCTTGTAATTAAAATGTGAACATGACATAAACCTACAAGAATAATGAAATTTGATTGGTTGCCATGGTTTTCAAAGTTAACACAAAATTGTTGGTTAACATTTGATCTTCCCCCTATATATATATATATATATATATATATATATAGGGCTGTAAACGAATTGAACATTAAGTGAACCGTTCGGTGGGAAGTTTGTTTATTTAATAAATGAACGAATGTGAACAATTGTTTTTGTTCGTTTAGTTATACGAACGAACATGAACAAGAGTCTCGTTCGTTCATTTATGTTCATGAGCGTTCGTTCATTTACCTTTCGTTTTATATTCGTTTGTTTAGATATCAAATTTAATATAGTGTCTTTTATTTATTTACTTTGAATTCAAATAATATTTATTTATATTCATTTAGCCCATTCGTTTATGTTCGTTTAGCATGTTAACGAACAAACATAAACGAACACGAACACACATTATTTCTAAACGAACGAACACGAACACAAAGATTTTCGTTCATTTACCGTTCGTATGTTCGGTTAAGTTAATCGAACGAACATGAATAAACCTCCGTTCGTGTTTGTTCGGTTCGTTTACAGCCCTATATATATATACACATATATACAATTTTCCTTCATGCAAGAAAGTGATGAGAAGGTGACAAGCAATTTCATTCTTACACCTAAAAATTTATGGTAATCTTGTAATTATAACCAATTTTTGTATACCGTCGATGAACATGAGGAACAAAAATCTCTACCACGGAGGTTCAAATGCGGTGACTCCAGGCTACTTGCAAAGCAGATCGTCGCCCTGGAATTAGTCAGCTCGCAAATGCAGTTCAAATGCGGTAACTCCAGGCTACTTGCAAATCCCTTTATTACCACGGAGGTTCAAAGAAAGCCACAACTAACATCATCCTCCGTCGTTTAACTTTGACGATCAACCTTCTCTCTCGCCTTGAACTATATATGACGAGCATCGAGTAAACAAGGCCATCAAATACAGCTACAGTAACATGTTATACTTCATTTTCCACAACATACCTGCATCAACGACTACCTTTGATTAAATCGACGCTAGATATGGTTCTCCATGACGGACAATAACGACGGGTGGGTACGGAGGATACATATCTATACTAGCTATATTATAAAACATTTGACAAAAAGTCTTAAAACCATTTTTTATGCATGAAGTACTACTTATTGATGCACTAGAAGGGTATCCGCGCAATGCAGCGAGATACATCTTGATTTTAATATTTTATTTTATTATTTATCTCAGTCGATGTTATAGTATGGTCTTATGTAATTTTGAAAAAATGATAGATGATTTATTTTTGAATAAAATTAAATTTGAAGATATCATAAAAATTTGACAAAAATATATCGATATTAGTATCAAAATAACTATTTAAAATTCATATTTTTGTTTAATTTTTAATTCAGTTTTTTATTATAATTTAATTTAGTTTTAAT